CATGTTGTTAACATGCTGTTAACATGCTGTTAACATGTTGTTAACATGTTGTTAACATGTTGTTAACAACATGTTAACAAGTTGTTAACATGTTGTTAACAAGTTGTTAACATGTTGTTAACATGCTGTTAACATGCTGTTAACATGCTGTTAACAAGTTGTTAACATGTTGTTAACATGTTGTTAACATGTTGTTAACATGCTGTTAACATGCTGTTAACATGTTGTTAACATGTTGTTAACATGTTGTCACCTGGTGGATCAGGGACACATGTGAACAAAATGTGTGATAGTTTTCACCCTCAGCTGTTAACATTAACATGATCAATAACATTTATAGACCTGTTAGTGCTTTGAAATTTAGCCTATAAGTTCAGCAAGTGCTAATCCACTAACAAATTTTAAAATGAGCAAAAGCCCTAAAGCACTAATAAAGAAATTAGTTCCCCTATTAGTGCTTTAGTGCTTTAGGGGAACTGTGCCCACCACTGGTTATTTTCACAAATCATTGTACCAAAGACAGAAACAGTTTACAGATAATGTAAAATGTGATTTTAATTTATAAAGTGGTTAATTGGTGAAGAAGACAAATGTCCTCTTTGAAAGTTGTAAAAGGCTGGATTATATTAAAAATTAATTATTTGTACAAATATAAGAATATAAAATATTTGTAGGCACATAAGGTGTCAGGAAACAGGATGTTTGTTTCTCACCTGTAGGTGGCGCTGTTTGACCTCACTGTGGAAAAAAGGTCACTTTATCAATTTGTTGACCAAATCCAAAATATTATCAAAACAAATAGCAATGTAATAAAATAACAACAATATGGAAAATAACGAAAGAATAAACATTTAGTGTTTAAAACATTTGTGGATAATTTTATTTTAAAGTTCTAACCGGAAGCAGATTACATCTCTCTTGTGATCATTTTACTTTAAAAACTCCAACCGGAAACGTAGAGTTCTTTCAGACATCAAATTAGTTAATTTTGAAAAACCAACCGGAAGCACATTCCATCACTTTTGTCAAAGGCCTCAAGTTAAATTGACCGAAGGATTTTATTTTGAAATATCAAACCGGAAGCACATTCTTTTTCTCTTCTATCCTCCTCCTCCTCCTCCTCCTCCTCCTCCTCCATCAGCGGAGGAGAGCACCGCGGGTCCACCCCGGAGGAGGAGGGAGCGGAGCGGGTCAGCGCACGGACTGGAAGCCGGGATGGCGTCGCTTGGAGCGGGGCAGCACGTGAGCCGCAGACGGGGAGCAGGAAGGAGCTCCGCGGTGGAGAGGAGGAATCTGCTGACGGTGTGCAGGTGGGACTGATGGACTCACCGTGTCTCTGCCCACCTTATGATGACAGAGCTTAGCTTGAAGATGGAGGAACACAAATTAATTTATATCCTTCATTTATAATGAATATAGGCCACCTCACTGTAAATATTAATCATGTTAAATCATGATTATTTGTGCGTTTATTCTAATAACATCCAGTCTTTGTGAGGAAGAAACACCTTCATTAAATATTCATACCATCACATTACACACACACACACACACACACACACACACACACACACACACA